AGGTGGTGAAGATGAAAAGAAGTTCTCTCTCTGTCTCTCTCTGTCTCTCTCTCTCTCTCTCTCTCTCTCTCTCTCTCTCTCTCTCTCTCTCTCTCTCTCTCTCTCTCTCTCTCTCTCTCTGCCCCTCTCCATCCCTCTGTCCCTTCGCAACCCACGCAGCTTCCACAGTATTGGGACCAATATTTTTCGTCGTAAATTATTTTTCCTTGCGGGGCTCTCCGCTTCAGATAATTAGATTTATTAAGTCGGCCCTGTTTACACGGAGCGCTCGGGGCGCGTGATTTATTGAAGAGGGCCCTTCAAGCGGCCTCCCGGTAAGAGGAGGTGAAGATTCTTCTTGACTCCTCCTTCTGCCCTCGTCCGCAAACAAGTTCAATAAGCCTACTCTGCTAAGTAGACTAATCGGAGTTTCGAGAGGCTTTGTCGGTCCTTTATCGCCAAATTTTCCGACATGAGCGCGGAACGCGAATTCTCTCTCTCCCTCGCTCTTCCCTTCCACCATTCGTTCGTCCTGTTCGTATCACTTGCTCTCTCCCTCTCTCGTATTTTCATATTTTCCTCTTTTGTCTAAAACGTCTTTCCTTCCTTCCCTCGAGTCTTGCAACTCCTTACCATGAGACCATTATCATAATACCCGAAAGCAAATGGAGTTTCCAACAACTGTATTATACAGCTTTCCACGTAACACTCGCTAATCAGAATTCTCACATAACGTACTTGAGAAAGCACCCTCTATCCTACGAATCGCAAGGAATTACCAAAAATGTATAATTGTCTTATTCCACGAGAATTCCGACCGAGCACCCAGCACGTTTTATCGCTGGGAATTATCCTTATTAAAGCTTTGCCACTACACAACCTACATCGCTAACGTAGCGATTCGATGTTTGGTGGAGGAAAGTAATGTTGATTGTAACGAGGTCTTCTTATCGTTAGGCAAAATGCCTGCTGGCAACCAACGTGCCTCTGCTACGCGATAGCCCAAGCCCCCGTCCACCGTTCCCCATCCTCGTACTTCGTTTTTCTATTCGAAGGGAAAAATAACTAAGCACCAAATAGAAATGACCACGCCATTGAGATTGTTTTCGCGAAAATTAATAATCTGGTTACGTACTACGGATTGCATGTACATATTTCAATAAATGCTCATCCCTTACATTTACAAGGAACAACCAATATAACGCGTAGGCGCTGATCGTAACGAAAAACAAATACGGTTTAGGTGCTTTGTACTCGAAAGAAGCCGGAAATCTCTAGGACAGTTAAATACTAATAAAAGAGCAGTGATTCTTTCAGGAGTCTGGAAGGACTTTCCGGATTTACCGGGTGCGCGCAATACGATCCTTAGAGTCAGTGTTTGCTCCAAGTTCACTTTAATTAAAGACTCCATTCTGGTTGAGCGAAAAATTCGCCAGGACGAGAATTATTTTTTAACTTGATCGATGGCAGGAACTGCCGGCGGATTGTGTTACCTCGAGTAGAAGACGTCTCCTTCTTCTTTTGTTTTCCTTTTGTACTTCAAACGGGAGAAGATTGCACCCGTTTGCTTGTCAAAGGAAGCCAAAAGTCTCGGTGATCGTTTTTCTGGATGCTTCGAAAATTGACACTTAAGTGATGAAGCAGAATTTAGATTTTGTAGCTGACGGGGGAGGTGCAATATACATATAAGGGCGTATTAAGAAGAATAGTCGATCAGTTCATGAGAGATCGCGACCGCACGGTGAACCAGAAGAAACTTAAACGTGACTTACAGTTATTCGAGGAAGTAAATCGAAAATAATCCAAACAAAAGAATAAAAACAGAAACAATGAAAACTGTGGGAGTACCTCGCGCGAGAGAGCGAACGAGAGAAAGAGCCGGCTCCAATAAATATCGGTCCTCGTTATTAGCGTTTTAACTCAGCGTCACGCTGGTAACTTAATCCTGTGAAATCGGAAAAAGCGTCGAGCGCCTCAGGCGACTCGCGCGCGCGCGAGCGCATAGCGGGCGAATAGCCGAGCGAAACTCCGGCCATAAATAATGAAATAATACCGCGTCATCGTTTGTAACTCGCGTAGCTACAATCGCCCGAGAAAGGTTGCCCGCACTGAAATTGGCAAAACGTGGAAGTCCACTTTTTTTTTCGGTGTCTTCCTCCTTTTTTGTTCCTAGTCGATTCCCTCTATACTTCATCCGGTCCTATTCTATCTAGTACAAAATAACTCCTCTCCCTGTTCGACCTCGCTTCACTCGCCGAGAGAGCTTCCTTGTTTACGAATAGGTGCTCCTAGCCTTAGCAAACTTATCTTTTGACAATTCTCAATGATTTTATGAAAATCAAAGAACAAGCCAAGCATACCTATTTCTTCCACGAAGGGATTCCCGCGAGTCTCTCTTTTCAATTCCCGTCTATTATCTGCTAGGGAGTTTTCCATTGATTGATAAAGCTACTAGTATCTCTACAGCGCCTAGGAAAAGTGTTGTCTCTTGGAGAATTGTCAACGGATAGAGGATGGCTATTCGTGGAGATTGACTTATGGATGGCGGTTGTAATTAAAATGGTATCTAGCGCGAAAATGTACGACTGCCGCCGACATTATTTCCCGTTTCGGTTGGCTTTTATTTCCCGTCCCCACTTTATACCCAGGGAATACCGCGTCCCTTTCCACTGGGCTTCGGACTCGCCAGGACGATTCGTCTTCGTCCTCCTCTACGTCAGGAAGAGAGCGAAAAGGAGCCGGGCTTTCCAGCCGGGACTCTGGCAAAGCGTGGAAAAGGTGTTGGATGGATGGGAAAGGAAAAAAGATTTCCTTTTACGGATAATCGACACGGAATTCCGCGTTTACGCATACTCAAGAATTACGTGATTCTTCAATAATCTGAATGCCCTTTGTTCGCATCGTCCGTAGGTTTTGCTTCTCTCCTCTTTAGCTAGACGGATAAGGCAGATACGTGGATACTTGGCTTTCAAGGAACGCAGGCACAAAGGATAAGAATCAAAGTCCGAATGTAAACTGTGTATACATACGGAACACTAGATGCTATCTTGGGAAGCGAATATGTGCAGGCAGGTTTCCAGTGCCGGAATGGCAAAACAGCGGCCGAATAGAAGAGTCTAATTCGATGAAGCGGAGTGGTTCGGCCGATCTATCTCTCAAAGCTCGAAATCTCATCCTTTCAGGCCTTTAAGCGCCAAACGGCCCGAGTAATACTTTTCAGCTTTTCTATTTTGCGGCCTCCCCGGAGCTTATCGTAGCCTCCTCTCTCTCTCTCTCTCTCTTACTCTTTTTCTCGTTGTCTCCTCTAACATTCGCATTCACTCGTATGGTTGCGATAGACCAAGAATCTACGCGGAATTGAATGTCTCGCATGTATGCCAGTCAATCATCTAGAAATTGGCTCCCACTTTAAACCCCGTAGAAAAATAACGAACCAACCTCAATGACACGCTGTAACGCAAGCATGTTTTAAAATAATTCATACATGACCGAGAATCGCGGTTGCGCCGCTTAGGAACGTTAATTATCAAATTCTATGGCCCGTAGCTAATTTAATCACGTAATTTCGCGGTCAAACGACCAGGGCCCGATGGCCTATAAACCACGAGGACAGATAAAGCGTTGAATATTCGTTTGCTTCGCTATAGGATATATGGAGGAGATTTCAGGGGACAAGGCTAGATGCTATAGCAAAAAGAGATAAGTGAATGAAATTAGGAGAGAAGAAATCCACATGGAGAAGCGATTGTACATGCGCGTAAACTCCATTAAGAGAACTTATCTCGCTTATAGGTATATCGGTTCAGGAGCACCGAAGAAGCGCAGCAACTCGTGATAGTAAAAGCGTATCGGGTCTATACATATAGATCCCATTCGGTCGAGTAACGTCGAATAAAACATTTTCAAGAGTTGAATCACATCGGTTCCCCACTCGTGCTCCCCTGGTGGCGCAAGCATGTCGGCTGCTGGCTCTCGATCTTTCAGCAGCCCTCGTTCATGGCCACCTGGCCCCACGCCGAACGAGAATTAACCGTGTTTGCCCCCTCAGGCACAACCTAACCCACCTCCCATCGGCTGCTCCATGAATAATGCACGCGGTCCGTGCGGATGTTCGATTTATGCCGCGCGGAAACACAGCGCGAATCTTACGCGCATCAATCTTGCCGTGCGGAAAGCCTTTCGGGACGATCCATCATTGGCGCGCAGCCTCGTGATCCTGGATGGGTGGCTGACAGGCTCACTGGCTGACTGGCTGACTGGCTGACTGGCTGACTGGCTGAGCCGTAACGGAGCAGAGCCAGAGATTGGTAACCTCGTCGAAAAGTTCCTGTCAATCGTCACTGACTGCCGGAAAATGTCGCAAATCGATTCTTCCCCGTGAAGAGAAAAAAAGGGGAAGTGGCAGGCAGAATAGGAGAGTTCAAAGTCAGTCGTGTGGTCGTTCAACAAAGAAAAAAAAAAAAAAAAAAAAAAAAAAAAAAAAAAAAAAAAAAAAAAAAAAAAAAAAAAAAACAGGGGGCTAACCAGAGCACGGATTTTTTGAAGTTTTAAATTTCGATATGGAACTACCGAACCGAGTGATCCTTTCTATCTTGCGAAATAATTAAAAAATAATAATAATCCGCCGAGCGCAGTGACCAAAGTTGCAAAGGCTGGTGGATTTTTTGCGAGGGTCGCACAGTATAAACGCGAGGGAGGGCGTATCGACAAAAATTGCAAAATATTCGGTTTCTCGTGAAACGACGAGACGATTAAAAAACTCATACCAACCCAGTACATGTATATGGATCTCGTAACTATCGGCCCGCACCCCTTGCTGAATCACGCATCGGAACACTTTGATCAGACTTTTAATCAAAGATGAGAATTACACCAGCATGAAGTCTCCCGTACAAATATGTTACACAAGGCTTCCCCTGATGAGAATGCTAACTCTTATTTTTTATAGTTTACAGTATATTGTGAACACAAAGCTGTTTCCAGAATGATTAAAAAAAAAAAAGAAAAAAGAAAGGTATTACCACGATTTTGTCACCGAGATTGCGAACTCTGCAGGGCAGATAAGCCGTTTGTCCTTGAAAAGCTGAGACGTTCGACACCGTTTGCTCGAAGACTGGCACCTCCATGGCGTCATCCTGAATTCCGGGAACACCGTCAAGATGCTGGACCGGTGCTGAAACATGAATAAAGAGAAAAATTCTAAAAATCACGTTTACTCTCTTGAGCCGCATTTCCGAGATTATAGACAGCACAGTCCAGCAACGTGCACATGTGGATTCGTCCTGCGGCTACTGTATCCACCATCAGGGACTAAATATAGTCTCACGCTGTGGTTCCGATGAAACCATTAAAGTAGACTAGGTCCACGCGTCTCCACCAAATACAGCTATCACCTTGAACCGTCCTCTTTAGTCCTCCAGCCTTTCAGGCTTTCAGCCCTTTAGACCCCAGGGCCTCCATGCGACGTCACACGGAGCGACCTCCCCTTGGATGGTAGATAACACCCGTATACGCACATACACACCCACTTGGTGGCGTTATACAAATGACCACCCTCCCGAGCAGCAGCCCGCGCAGCCCATGAAGTAGCGCTCCTGATAACTCCAGATTAATTGACAAAAACCCACGAGCGCAAATACAGATGATGTACATCACCCGAAAATCGTCCTACATTCCCATTATCTCGCATTTCCTTCATCCCCGGTGTGTACTACACCAGTTTACCACCACCAGCGACCAACTAGCGACCACCCAGCAAACCGCGAACCATCCTGTATTACCAGCATCCCCGCCATAAGTCTCAACACGAGCACATCGCCACCATTCTCAACCCTACACCTTTTTACCACTACTTTATAATATCATAAACTCCGCATGGGGATGTTTCTCTTTCAGCTTCACAACAAAAATCCTCTCTTCGCTCCCGGAATTTTTGTATTCGCTCCAACTTTTTGCCTAACCCCTCGCATTCCTATCCTTTCACCTCACATAGATTAGGTACTCGAAATTTTTCGAAACCCCAATAAATACCACTCTTCCCTTACAAGAGAAGACTATAGCGATTCGTCGTAACAGTGCACTATCGTTGAAACGAAATATTACCAAGGGTAATAACGTTAACGCAATCGCGCTAGGCGAAATTTACTCGACCTACCAACCGCCGAGTGAACACTCTGCCGCGGACTTGGGAGTCTGGAAAATTGCAGCGTATTTTCGTTAGAGCGCGTTCGTAAGAAGCGCTTGACTTTTGTCGAGTAATTCTCCCTAGGTTTTAGGTGGCCTTCAACTTCGTTTGTTTACGCCCTGTGAGAACAATATTCGCACCAATTGATTTTACCAGCGCCCAACAGAGACTGGATAAAACATCGAGAACATAGGGGAGAGCATTTACCGTTTACGGCTGCCAGAAGTTTTTATTGTAAAACTCGAAGCACTCACGAGTAAAGTCACGACGTCTTCGTAGGTAATATACACTACAGTGTGGAATAATACTCGAGGGTTGAGTTTGGCAAATATGACGTGGTGGCAATACGAGCGACTAGCGAGATGAAGCTACAGCCTCGTCTGGAAGGTTTGAGAAAATATCGTAGGAGAATGAGAAAGAGGAGAAAGAGGGTGGGGCGGGGGG